TAAAGAGCAAACCAGAGGATGAGAAGAGCTCTCTGTCTCTTTCTGCCTTTCAAAGAAAACAAAACATTTAAGCATTTAATTAAAAAGAAAACGCAAAAATTATATGATTTTAAAATTTTTAAAAAATACATAGTACACAAATAGTAAATACTCATTCATTAAAATAGCTATTTAATGTTTTTTTATTATGGCTTGTACAGATTTCCTAAAATTTCTATAACATTATTTGAATAAGAAAAATCCATAGGCTGGAGTTGTGGTCAGCAGGTTATGTTGCCACTGCCTGTGACACCAGCATTCCACATCAGAGCACTGGTTCAAATCCCCACCAGCTGCTCCACTTCCAACTGACTTCCCTGTTAATGTGCATGGAAGGCAGCAGTGGATGGCCCAAGTGCTTAGACTCCTGCCACCTCTGTGAGACCTAGACAGAGTTCAGCTAGCTTCAGCTTTGCCCAGTCCCAGCCATTGCAGCCATCTAGGAGTGAACCAACAGACTGAAGATAACCTTCCCCCCTCAACTGCCATTTAAGAAAATAAACACATTTTAAAGAAAAAACCCTTTGGGCTGGTACTTTGGCACAGTATGCTAAGCTTCCACCTGTGATACTAGCATCCCACATGGAGCTGGTTCGTGTCCCAGCAGGCCCTCTTCCAATCCAGCTCTCTGCTAATGGCCGCAGTGGAAGATGGCCCAAGTGCTTGGGCCCCTGCACCTGCATGGGAGACCCGGAAGCAGCTTCTGGCTCCTGGCTTCGGACGGGCCTAGCTCCAGCCATTGCGGCCCTTTGGGGAGTGGACCAGCAGATGGGAACACCTCTCTCTCTGACTCTCCCTCTCTGTTTGTAATTCTGCCTCTTAAATAAATAAGAAAAAACCTTAATTATTTTAACACCAAAGACAAATCAAACAGATCACTATTCGATTAAAAATAAAATGATGACATTTCTTTTTAATAAGTACCTTTTCCTGAAATACAACAGCAGTTTCTAGCCCTGGCATGATGTCCAGCAGGAGTCTGCAAGCTGCAGTGTTTAAAGGTGGTTCTCGGCTTGTCATCACATATGCATTTACCAGCTACAAAGAAAAAAAACATACTTTTCATCTGAAATGCAATCCAGTCAAATTAAGGAAGTCTAATAAATCTTTAACAAACTAATATTTCCATCATTTTCTTAAAGGCACCTAACAATCACAAAGTAAACCTTTTATTATTATAAATAGTTATGATCCATGATGAAATCATAAAGAATTTCTTCAGAAGCTTTAAATCCCCTACAAAACTCAGCCACCACAGAAATTAAAGCTCAATGGGTATCACAAAGAAATCACCCCTAACTCTTTATACTTTAAAAAGATTTATTTTATTTATTTAAAAAGTAGAAGTAGAAAAAGAGGAAGACACATAGAGAGAGGTCTTCTGTCCACTGGTTCATTCCCCAAATGGCTGCATCAGTCAGAAATGGGCCAGTTCAAAGCTAGGAGCCAGGAGCTTCTTCCAGGTCTTCCGTATGGGTGCAGGGCCCCAAGCACTTGGGCCACATCCTCCGCTGCTTTTCCCAAATTAGCAGGGAACTGGGTTGGAAGTGGAGCAGCTGGGACTCAAAATAGGCACCCATATGGAATGACAGTGTTGAAGGCAGCAGCTTTACCAGTACACCGCAATGCTGGCCCCTACACTTTTTCAGAAGTATAAAACAAAGCAAGACAAGCCTCAGTTCTTGACAATAGTTAATAAAAACTTGAATTCTATAATAAACAATATATATGTATGTTAAGTAAAGTTTTCTTTTGGCACTCATCTAAAATTTACTAAATCTCTACTACTAACTGATGCTATGGTGCTAAGTATACAACGGTAGGGACGAGGCTGTGGCGTAGTGCATTAAAGCCTCAGCCTACAGCGCTGGCATCCCATATGGGCGCCAGTTTGAGTCCCAGCTGCTCCTCTTCGGATTCAGCTCTGCTATGGCCTGGGAAAGCAGTGGAAGATGGCCTAAATCCTGGCTCTTAGACTCGGATAAGCTCAGCTCTGGCCATTTCGGTCATTTGGGGAATGAACCAGCGGACTGAAGACTTCTCTCTCTGGCTATACCTCTCTCTGTAACTCCCTCAAAAAAATAAATCTTTAAAAAAAAAAAAAGTATACAACGGTAAAAAATTACAGTCTTACCATCAAAGACTTATTAGAATCCAAGACAGATGACTGTCAGGAAGACAGATAGCACCATCGGCATTCTACACAAGCAATCCTAAGTAAGAAACCACCCACCGTAGAGAACTCAGTGAATGCTGGAGAGAAAAGGGATTCTAAGACAGAACATAAGGAAGAAGAAGGGCATTGCCTAAAGAAGAGTGAGAGGAGACCAACAGAGAAAAACTGACGTTGGAGAACAAAAGCCAGACAGATTAAATTTTTATGTCAAACTAAGGAATTTAAATTTATCCTAATGGCAGCAAGAAACCATTAGTAAATAGTAAGGAAGAGGTACCATGATCATGTTTTATAGTTTAGAAAATTTCTGTACTATAAAGAATGGATGAAAGGAGGATAAAACAGGAAGAAACCAGTTATGAGGCTATTGTAGTAACCAAGTGAGAAATGGCAGTGGTTAAATTAAGGTCTGACAGCAAGGATAGAAAGGAAGTAGATGGATTTGTGAAGTTTAAGGATGAGGGAACAACAGACCTATAAATACACTGAATAAGAGAGGTTGCAGTAAAGGAAGCCTTCTACCTGGATAGCTCATTACTGAGCTAGAGAACAAGAGAATCAGACTGTGCAGCCAATGGTTAGACATAGTAGGATTTAAGAGACCTGTGGGCTACATCTAGGTGGCATTATCTAGAAGACAGCTGAAAGCAGTCTGAAGCTGAAGAGAGACACTGGTTACACAAAAATTGGGAGTCACTAATATTCCAGACCATAATAAAGCTTAATACTGAGCCTTCATCATATGCCGGGCTCTATGCCACACCCTTTCCATCCCCAATTTCACTTAAGGATTTCAAAAATGTTTTGAGTGAGTACTATCATCTCCACTCTATAGATCAGGAAAATAAGGCTTGGGGAATATAAAGCTTGAAGAGGCCCAAAGATCAAATTGTCAATGAACAATGGAGCTAGATTTAAACCTGAAACACAGAACCCAAAACCACAAAACCCCTTCTCTCAAGCACCATGGTGTTCTGTCTCCAAAAAATCTAACATATGCAATTTTGGGGGCAATTACTATGTTCAGGAGTTGTGAGTGAAGCAGACCCACACACACATTCTCACTTGCTCATTCTTTAGTACGCACACTCACTCACTCACTCTTCACAACAGCTTTGAGTTAACAAGGAAGCACCCTTCTATTCCTCCACATTCCAAAACGTACAGTGTCAGTGTGGAATCACACCATATACATCGCTTTTATTTTTCCTTTCAAGAACTCAACAGGACTCTTACATTCTCAAACTCAAAATCATCTTACCCAAGAAAACATACATGCCTTGAAAATCCTCGTCATTATTCATCTGGACAAAGTACACACCAGAGAGAAAATCTGCTCACAACTAGGACTTTGGCAAGAAAGAAAACCATGATTACCTTATTCCAACTGAACCAATACCAAATTTAAAAACCTACCCACGCTATTTGCAATCTTGCCAAAGTCGTAGGAGGAAGCAAACTACTCACACGCACACACACACAATAAAAAATGATAAAGGTGTAGAGTCTGCTGATGATGATCTCTGGAGAAAAGTAAGAAGCAAACCTACTGCATTCATGAAATCATCATTCTTGAAGAGTATTCTCAGCAAGTGGCCCAGCATACACTCTGGATCAGCTCGACCTACCAAAAGAAGAGGGGAGGAACAAAGGAATGAGTAAGTCATCCCAGTGAAGCAACTAAGACCTCTGGAAAGGCACCTGAGTTGTTATAAATATCATTAAAATGCCAACAAACATAAATATAACCAAAGAAAAGATTGCTGTGATGGATCAGATTTCATAAAGAACATTCTCTTAAAAAAATTTTAAACATAAAAGCTTCAGACACTGCTCTTTAACCTTCCCATCTCACAGTATAATGCCTACACAGCAATGCTGAAGTCCATAAACAAACACTGGGTCCTGACCAGCACCACCAAGGGTACACAAGGTCTACAGAATAATCATAAAGGAGTCTAAATGAAAGAAAATCCCTGGCCACCCAGTCACAGAAAGGCAGAAAGCAAGCCCCTGATGAGTAGTCTAGAGAAGACAGGTTCCACGTCCAATCTCTCCATCAAATAAAATGACAACAGCAGCAGAGATGCATCCTCACACCTGTAAGGACACCTCGGTGTAGGTTATGGGATGATTCTCACTCCCTAAAGATAACCTTGTAACAGTAACCCTGGCCATCTCAACTCCCTAGTTTCCACAGAAAGAAAGACAAGGGATCCAGGATCTATTCAATGCAAAGCCTAAAGGTAAAAGAATTAGTTAATGACCAAAAGAAATGGTATATTTTTTAAAGAGATACCATCTATTTTAATTTCCTTTCAGAGCACTAGAGAGGCAAATTCAGTTAAAAGATATAATATAGGATGATGACAAGATGTGAGCTGCTGATAGGAAGTTTCCACCAAGCTTTAATCAGGATCTCAAGGTAATTCACAATATCATAAAAACAAGTAAGGGCCTCAGGTTCCTTACTTTCTGTTTATAAATGATGAAACTGAAATCCTTATTTTTTATTATTATGCCAAAGATAAATATAGCTTAAATTAAGAGGTAGGAAAGAAAAATTTTTTTCAAAGTCTATACTGAAAAAAAAACTATGCCTCTCAAACAAATATTAAAAAAGGGGGGTACATTATTCTCTCTCTCTCTCCTTCCCCATCACTAATTCATCCTTTCTAAGGCACTGACAATAAGCATGACCATCCCTCTTAGAGTTATTTTCATAGTTGTGGGTATTAACTTAATTTTGCTTTCAATTTGCATATATTTTCATTGTATTTGAAAGGCACAGAGAAAGAGAGAGAGCTCCTCCATCTCCCCAGATGCCTGCAATATAGCCAGGGCTGGGCCAAGCCACAGCTGAACTTCATTCAGATCTCCGCCATGGTGGCAACATCTATTGTCTCCCACGTGTGTATTAGCAGGAAGCTAGAATCAGGAGTGGAGCCCAGGCACCCAGGTAAGACATGCCAAATGCCAAATGTCTATTCTTTAACTTAATTTCTGATTTCGTATTCACTTTTGTACTCCTTCATGCTTTGAATGTGTTACTAAAGATGTGGATTAGCCAGTGAGTATTCCTCAGCAGTCACAAGAAAGGTCTAGGACAAGAGCAGCAGGTAACATCACAAAACAACTCAGTTTGAAATGCCTGGCTTCTTTACATTTGAGAACGAAAGTTTAAGAAACAGAAACCCTCAAACATTCAGATAGACATACAATGTTCTTAATTTTTAATTCCCACTTCCTGGCACTCTCTTCACACATAAAATTTCAGGCTCTTCTCCAAAAAGGACTGCTTGCGGCTAGAGATTATCTGCAGTATGCACCCATACATGACTTAAGCTTTGCCCACTGGTAATCCACCATAGAACATAAATGGCAGTCTCATGTCTCACACAATTCTATATTATGGCAAACACCATACCAAAGCAGGCAATTTGTCAGGATTCTAATAAAATTAACCCAAAATAAAATTAAGTTAACCAGAAATGGCATTAAACATAAAAAGTGCTGCTTATTATTTAAAGTTCCAAGTATAAAGTTCCCAACTAAAAGCAAGGAACTAAGTGCATTTTCAAATGTATTTCCCCTGGAGCTGGCGCTGTGGCTCAGCAGGTCTCTTTCTGCCTCTCCTCTCTCTGTAACTCTGACTTTCAAATAAATAAATAAATAAATCTTTAAAAAAAAAAAAGTACTTCCCCATCAGTAAAAAGATAAATATTATCAGAAAGATGAAGGCAGGCCGGCGCCGCGGCTCACTAGGCTAATCCTCCGCCTAGCGGCGCCGGCACACCGGGTTCTAGTCCCGGTCGGGGCGCCGGATTCTGTCCCGGTTGCCCCTCTTCCAGGCCAGCCCTCTGCTGTGGCCAGGGAGTGCAGTGGAGGATGGCCCAGGTGCTTGGGCCCTGCACCCCATGGGAGACCAGGAAAAGCACCTGGCTCCTGGCTCCTGCCATCGGATCAGCGCGGTGCGCCGGCCGCAGCGCGCCGGCCGCGGCGGCCATTGGAGGGTGAACCAACGGCAAAGGAAAGCTCTTTCTCTTTCTGTCTCTTCTCTTCTCCCTGTGTCACGCTGCCTGTCAAAAAAATTAGAAGACAAAGAAAAAAACAAAAAGGGACAGATGAAGGCAAAGAGGAAAACATCTTTCAGTATAAAAAAAAGTCACAATGAGAGTTTCAAGTTCCTGTAATCATATAAACTCATTAAAACATGCCAAATTAATTTAGTGCTTTTAAGTCAGTTACATACTCTCTGATATGTATGTATCACAAGTATTTCCCATTTTTCTAGGAAATTTTATTTTATCTGACAGTGAGTAAGTGAGTGAGTGAGGAAGTGAGAGTGAGAGAGAGAGAGAAAGGTCTTCCCTCCATTGGTTCACTCCCCAAATGGCCATCATGGCCGGCACTGCGCTGATCCGAAGCCAGAAGCCAGGTGCTTCTTCCTGGTCTCCCATGCGGGTGCAGGAGCCCAAACACTTGGGCCATCCTCCACTGCACTCCCGGGCCACAGCAGAAAGCTGGACTGTAAGAGGGGCAACCAGGACAGATCCGGCACCCATACGAGATGCTGGCGCCACAGGCGGAGGATTAACTAAGTGAGCCACAGTGCCAGCCCTAGGAATTTATTTTTCCTCATTGCCCCCACCTTCCTTACATTTTAACAAACAAAAGATCTTAAAACTTACCACAAGATGATGTTCTATCAATTGAAAAGTATTTCTTTTAGCAATTTCCTTTCATAAGAAAAAAGACCCCAAGCTTAAGAGAGAACATATGACTTACCAGGATGTCGATCATCAAATGGGTCTGGATCTCCTTTACGATATTCTTCAGTTTCTTTTTCTATCAATTCAGACATCCTAGCACAAAGGGAGGAAAGGGTCAACTCTGGAACAAGTGCACCAAAACAATTCGCCATGTCCTATAACAGTCAGTTCAACAGCCAGGTGTAAAACACAAATGCACAAAGTTAGAGAGGAGGTCTCTCTCTGATCGGATTGGAATAATCACCCCTCAAACTATTCTTACTCTCAAACTGATTCCTCTCTAGACCTTCCCTGCCTCAAGGAAACAGCACTATTATTACTTCAAAAGACAAAGCCTCAGAGTCATCACCACAATCTTTTCTCCTCATCCCCCATAGGAATATCAGCTCCACCTACAAATACCTCCTGACTCTATTCACTTTTCTAAATCATAACCACTCCCATTCTTACCAAGACCACCATCAACTACCTGTATTACTTCCAATAAGCTATCCCTTGATAATATTCCAGTTTCATGCTTGACCCAATTAATTCTCCACTTTATAATACCTTGAATTAAACCCAAGTACCACATGGCCCACCTGGCTTCTGCCCACTTCACCATTCCTCTGCCCTCCTTCATTGAGCTTCAATCACATGGCCTTCTCCACTCGTCATCATTTTGACTTCAGGGCCTTTCTATGTGCTGCTACCTTCACCCATAATGTTCTCCCCCTAGTTAAGCCTCTATTCCTTCCCAAGTTAATACTCCACTCATCTTCTTTCTCCCACTGCAGGTAAGTTTTGCCAGAACGTCATATAAATGGAATCATATGTACTCTTTATGTCTGGCTTCTTTCACCTACGTCCTTTTAAGAGTCATCCATGTTGTATGTATCAACAGTTCCTTTTTATTCATTTTTTTTATAAAACAAGAAAAACTAAATTTTGAGCACCCTAAGCCAAGAATTAATTTTTTTTAAGATTGCTATTTATTTGAAGGAATAGTAACAAAAGAGAGAGAGAGAGACAGATTCCATCTGCAGGTTCACTCTTCAACTGCACACAACAACTGTGAGTAGCTATGCCAGGGCTAAGCTAGGAGCCAGGAGCTCCATCCAGAAGGCAACAGAAACCCAAGTACTTGGGCCATCACATCCTGCCTTCTAAGAGGATTAGCATAGAGTAGTCAAGAGTCAAAGAAGGTACTCTGATACAGGACGCAGGCATCCCCAAGAATGACATTTCAATCTATTAAAATGACATTCAACTGTAAGGCCATCACATTCTGCAGTATCTAATATGCTCTGTCCTACCTCAAACTTTCCAATAAGCTGGCAATTTTTCTTAAAGATTTATTTATTTGAAAGTCAGAGAGACAGAAAAGGATAAACAGAGAAGAAAGATCTTCCATCCACTGGTACACCTCCCAGGATGGCCACAACAGCTGGCACAGGCCAAGCCAAAGCCAACAGGTTCTTTTAGGTCTCAAGTGGGTGCAGGGGCCCAAGCACTTGGGCCATCTTCCACTGCTTTTTCCAGGCCATTAAAGAAGGGAGCTGAATCACAACTGAAGCATGAACCTGTGCCCACATGGGAGCCGGAGCCACGCACTGTGGCTTTACCAACTATACCCTAACACCAGCCCAAGTTGGCATTTGACATAGCTGTTAGGTCACTTCCATCCCACATGAAAATACCTGGGTTGGAGTCTTGGCTCTGTTCCTGGTTCCTGATTCCTGCTTCCTTCTAACATGCACCCTGTGAAGCAGCAAGTAACAGACCACAGGTGGTTGGGTTCCTGATCACATGGGAGATCTGGGCCGAGTTCCTGGGTCTCAGCTTTAGCCTGGTAAAGCCCAGGCTGTTGCAGTCATTTAGAAAGTATACCAGTGCCGGTGCCGCGGCTCAACAGCCTAATCCTCCGCCTAGTGGCGCCGGCACACCAGGTTCTAGTCCCGGTCGGAGCACTGGATTCTGTCCCGGTTGCCCCTCTTCCAGGCCAGCTCTCTGCTATGGCCCGGGAGTGCAGTGGAGGGTGGCCCAGGTCCTTGGGCCCTGCACCCGCATGGGAGACCAGGAGAAGCACCTGGCTCCTGCCTTCGTATCAGCGCAGTGTGCCAGCCGCAGCGCGCCGGCTACGGCGGCCACTGGAGGGTGAACCAACGGCAAAGGAAGACCTTTCTCTCTGTCTCTCTCTCTCACTGTCCACTGTGTCTGTCAAAAAAAAAAAAAAAAAAAAAAAGAGCCGGCGCCGTGGCTCAATAGGCTAATCCTCCACCTTGTGGCGCCGGCACACCGGGTTCTAGTCCCGGTCGGGGCGCCGGATTCTGTCCCGGTTGCCCCTCTTCCAGGCCAGCTCTCTGCTATGGCCAGGGAGTACAGTGGAGGATGGCCCAGGTGCTTGGGCCCTGCACCCCATGGGAGACCAGGAAAAGCACCTGGATCCTGGCTCCTGCCATCGGATCAGCGCGGTGCACCGGCTGCAGCGGCGGCCATTGGAGGGTGAACCAACGGCAAAGGAAGACCTTTCTCTCTCTGTCTCTCTCTCTCACTGTCCACTCTGCCTGTCAAAAAAAAAAAAAAAAAAAAAAAAAGAAAGTATACCAGTGATGGGAGAGTTCTCCCTCCCTCTCACTTACTCTCCCTGCCCCCGCCATCTCTTGGCCTCTCAAAAGCATAAATAAAAAATTTTAAAGCTCTCCACTAAGTTTTACTCTCACCAGACCAAATTTCCTACTTTTAACATTGAAGTTCTGTGTAAAAATCCATGGGCCAGAGTATTTAGCCTAGCACTTAAGCCACCAGCTATAGCATTCACATCTCACACAGTAGTATCTGGTATCAACTTCTGGCTCCAGCTCCCAATTCCAACTTCCTGGTATTTCAGACTGAGGGAGGCAGCCTTTGGAGGTAGTAATCGAGTTCTTTAACATGGGGGCCAGCACTGTGGCGCAATAGATTAAGCCTCCACTGGCGGCACTGGCATCCCATAGAGGTGCCGGTTCTATTCCTGGTTGCTTCCAATTCAGCTCCCTGCAAATGGCCTGGGAAAGCTATGGAGGATAACCCAAGTCCTTGAGCCCGCGCACCCACATGGGAGACCCAGAAGAAGCTCCTAGCTCCGGATCAGCCCATCTCCAGACATTCCAAATACTTGGGGAGTGAACCAGCAGATAGAACAGCTCTCTCTCTGCCTCTGCCTCTC